TTTACCCAGAAATCCCACCTATCAGAGTGTATTTAACAGTTTTTCCCCTTCAATCTGTCCAGTAAATAGTCAATTTCTAGATGAAATTGCATCAGAGTCATCAGCTCCAGGCTGATTTGTGTTTAATGATAACCCTAAAAACTGGATTAAAACTCTTTATTTCCTCATCCTGACGGACTATATTAAACCTGCTCCTAAAAGTAGGACTTTCAGAACCAGGTCTGGGCTTTAAGTCTCTGCATTTGGGCCGTTTGTGTCCAAAAAGCTGCTCGGAGGCCGAAGCTTTGGGCGAATCCTGACCAGTACTGGACCCTAACCCAGACCCCCTCGTCCAGCTCACAGACCTCTCCCAGAGGAGAAGGCTCGGCTGAAGCTTGTTTCACCTTTCCTCTGCAAACGGCAGTGAGTCACCGGCTGGTGTCGCTCAGCCAAAGCCGCTTACCGCCTGACGGAAAGCCCATTAAAGCTAAACCCAGCAGGAAACAACAGATCAGGGCTGCCCGGCCCCCCGCCGAGAACCCGAAGCACCGCGCCGCCCTTCAGGAGAGATAAAGCTCGAGTTTTTCCCCCCAGAATAATCCCCAAAATGTGTGGAGAAAATGAGGAAAATACGGCTGCTGGGTGGCGCTTTTTTTAGCTATTCAGCCCCACACGTGAGGCATTCCTCTCAGACGAACGCTAACTCTGTTAGCATCCATCCCAGAAACCTCCCAGAGCCTCCCACACTGGGTCAGAACCTGAACGAAACCAGGAAGGAGTTAGCATGTGGACGCTATCTGTGCAGAGATTGGTCCAGCTGAAGCTGTGAGACATTATGGCTCCGTGTGGAAAAGCTCTTTAAACTTCATCTAAACGCCTACAAAAGCTTATTTTTCTGTGATTTTTCCAAAGAATTCCCCACACAGATATTCCTTCCCCATTTAAATGGATCACACGCGGTATCCTCTCCTTTCTCAAGGCACATGGGACAGCACACCCTGCTCCCATTGGCCCGTTTTGAGTCCTCTCCTCCAGTAGTTTTTCCTTGCCTGTGTCGCCTAGTGCTTGCTCATGGTGGGAATTGTTGGGTTTCTGTAGTTAACTTCAGAGTAGGGTCTGACCTGCTCTGTTTGGAAAGCGCTGTGAGACAACTGTTGTTGTGATGTGGCGCTATATAAATGAAATTGAATTGAATTGAATTAATTTTAATTTTGTAATGTCACTGTCTGAACGTGTGTTTGGACTGATTTTGTATTTTGTGTTGTTTGGTCTTCCTGCCTCAGGACGACAGATGTAAACTAGCAACTATGCTATAATCTGGCTCATTTACAATCTGTATGAGATTGTTAATTAATGTGCACTGTCCTGATTAAATAAATAAATAAATAGAATCAGGCTAACGCGGCCTCGTCCAATCAGATCTCTGTAATCGGCTGTAACTGGGCAGGAAATACTGACTCTCAGAGCTTTTTTGGTGGGGATTGTTCCCTAAATTTGCTCTGATTTGGTTTCTGTCAGCAGGACAGCAAAGGTAAGGCAGGATTTCTGAGGCCTGGAGCAGAACTTTGGGCCTTTTCCTGCTGGTTTTCCAGCATTTATAGTCCTTTCTTACGTCATTTATCTGAGGCTGAGAGCTTTGTGTCCAGGCTGAATGAGTCGGTGTTGATGTTGTGACGGGTGTGTTGGTCAGTAATTAGCCTGATGGGCGGCGTGGGGGGGAA